AAAAAAAACAAAAAATATTAAAAAATAAAGAACAAAAAAAAGAAAAAGATAAAAAAATATTAAAAATTAGAAAAAACAGCATTGTTCGGGTCATTTCATCCGATTTACAAAATTCTAATCTTATTTAGTTTCAGATCCGGATGGACGAACGCTCACGAGACAAGAAGGAACGTGGCGAACTAGGAGAGCATTCGAAGGAAACGGACGGACGGAGGCGGATCAGAGGAGAGGATCAGCGACGAAATTCAAAAGTGCAGGCAATCGCTCAAGACGTGTCAAGCAATCGCTCAAGCGTATGACAACGGCAAAAACTCGCAACAACGTTCCACCCACATAGTTTTGCAGGTGAAATCTGAATTATGTTTCAAATTGTTACCAATCGAATCTCAATTCTCGAACGAACGATTCCAATACTCTACAGTCTTTCACTAAATCATCAGACTACTTCAGTATTCATTTCGGAACCTTTTTGAAAGATAGGTATTCATCGTGATATTACATTTTCTTCGTTATTTTATCAGGTTTTTCGCCTCGAAACAAACGCACACGTTGACTCGGAGTTGCTTTCGTAAAAGCGAACATTGGTCGATTACAAAACAATGTTAGATGGCAGCAACGGAATAGAACACAGCAACTGATTAGAGGATTGATTCAATTTATATGCAACTAATGTAGTAAATTCAGTTGTAATTATTGGACCCTTCATTATATTAGCTCATCACTGATGTAATTATATTATGAATAATAGTGGTTTTCAATAATAGTGATCTCAGGTAATCTTCAACTCTTCCAATTGAATTTAGCTCGAGAAAAAGAGCATGGATACTTGCGTGATCTTATCGCAACGTTGGCCACTAATCTACAGGGAGGTGTTTTTTAGTCGAGCAAGACGTGTGATAAACAACAAGGTGCAATTGCGTGAGTTGAAGTGGATGATTATTACTCCTTATAGCAGACCAGATAATGAAACGTTTGATTAGTTCACATGATAGTTATCTCTCATCGTTGTTGATGTAATATTGATTCATTATCAGGATAACATTTCTCATACCATCAGATTCTCAAGAGTCAGTGAAGAGAATGATTATCAGGCAAGTGAAACATCGGATGGTTCCACTCAGAAAACGAAAAGTGCAAATCGAAAAGTCGAGACAGCCTATATGATTATTTGCTGTATTTAACATGGCATGAACGGTCAGGCCAGTTATAAAAACTTTTCAACTTCAGTTTGATCTGTTTTTCTGTAGTCCTAAATGCGCAGTAAATAAAAGAATAGTGTTTGAACGACGATATTTTTTCATTATTCATATTATTTATCCGAATATAAGGAATCAGATTCCTCCCCTTTTAACACTAGTAGAGATGCATTCCCGGTGATATGTTGTGCGTCTGTTGACAGGTAATGCGCTTGTAGACGAAAATTAAGAATATCGTTTTTAAGCGGCTTCTATGTTCATGTTTGCTCAACAACCTAGTGCTTTACTTTCGTCAGCTGATTCAGTATACGCTGATATCAGGAGAGAATATGTGTTGTCGGTGGGTAATGCAGAATCCCTGAAGTACAGGCAAACTTCTAACGATGCGGCTTAAATCCAGTTATTACTAGCTGAGTTGTGTTCAGCGTAATGTGCATCGTTTTGAATTTATTCGGTAAACTCATTCGATGTCTTATTTATTGTATGTGGACGAGGCCCGAAAATTATGTTTTTTTTATTAGTAGAAAACAAGTTCATCATGAAATATAAAGGTGTGTTCCCTAGATCCTGTCGAATAACAAGTTAGGACAAATGCAATTAAACGAACACANTAAACATGATGCACGATTGAATATCGGTCAAAATCTCATTCGAAACTGATTACGCTTTAGTGCAAAATCAACTTTTAAGTTTGCACCGTCATTCATTCCTCAATTTTGCGTTTTAAATGAAAAATGTTCACCCAGTTTGAAACAACTTCCGCCGTAATAATATGATCCGACTTGTGGTTATGGATGATTCATAAAATACGTAATCAATCCACAATACATTCCATCATTGTTTTTAATATCAGTGCCACTTATCATTATTGTTAGACTGATGGAGATTTGAAACCATAGAAGGCAACAGGGAAATTCTGAGTATCAACCTTATTCACCTGTTCAGCTGTGGCTGCAGGATTTTATGGAACTAAATTTTATAGTCGACGTTTTTCTTTCAGCAAGTGATTGGTAGATGAGTTCGCATATTGTTTTGAGTTAAGTAAAGAAAATGATTGTTGGTTTCAATTATTTGTTCGCCCCTCACTAAGCGAGTCTTCGATAAGCGATCCACATTGATCTCAACCCATGGTGAATGCAGCGTTAATGCATACGTTTTGACACACAACGACATAAAATTACGACCGCAGTAAATACGTGTATCACCGTTTTTAATGTTATGCTTTATCCTGACACCCTCTATGATTGCACTGAACAATGAGCTGCAATCGTTCTTCAATATATCAATTATGGCACGATTAGCAATTGAAAGACACCTCGACTTCTTATCCTCTGCTATACCAATCATATCACTGTCATTATCATCATCCAAAATTAGATTTCGATTTATATTCCAATCAAAGTCGATCTCATTGAATTGATCAAATACTATCGAACGATCGTTATGCGTTCTTACTGCATTCTTTGTTACCGTATATACCGATTTTGCTGCGGTTTTATTGTCACTGTTTTCATTAATAATCTTATTGTTGTTATTATTTACATCCAGTACGTGTATTGCATTGCTGACAGCACGCACACGTACACCCTCAACATGATCGAACTGAACCTGGAATGAGATTTGATGGTTATTGGCTGTTATCAGTGGTTTTTTATCACATGAATTGAACTTGTTTAGACCATTGAATTCGATCACTTAAATAGATGCATCAATGAGAACTTCAGCAATATCTTCAGACACCTAATGTATCCTGAAGCTTAACAGTTAAATGACTGCTTACTCTTCAACACCATACCTGGCTGGTTTTNCCAATATTTCTGCTCTTTCAGTTCGAGAACAATGGTCCTTTCACTCATTATCAAGTACATGTGCAACACTGAGCACCCATTTTAATTTTCGTTACAAGTGCCACAAATAACACATCGCAATATGGTGATTACGAGGTAGCTTTCAAGTTCACATTACGACTTCACACAATGTCAACGTTTTCGGTTCATACTGTTCCAGTGATGCTGTCACGATGGGAGATTCAACGACAATTTTTGCATTATTATCTTGGAAGGATTAAGACGAAAACACTTGTTTTGAAAGAACGAATGAAGTGCACACCTGTGTTTTTTGTTGAACGATATGCACGGACGGATGATAAACTGAAGCGACACTGCCACTGTGACATATGCTTGCAGCCAGTGAAGACTTGTGCGAGAGGCGTACATTCTTGCGAAGTGTTATCTCAACGATGACGTCGTGCGACAGCACCAAAGCGATCGTGTTCACCGGTGTAACGCACAAAATCGCTTGCATATCTCCTCCGTATCTTCGCAAACCGTTCGGCAGCTCATTTCGCATCACCTTTCCATTCCGACCCGACTCATCACATTGACAGTGTTGCTTCTTTTTATCGCGCTTCACACTTATCACCTCAATATCATCGATCATTTCTAGATAAATTGAAGTAGCCAAGCGCAGTGTGGCCAATCTTATGAAACGAATGAGCAATTTCAATTTTATGAACAATTGCATATTTCGACTGCTCTTAATGAATTGCAACATTTATCATATTAATCATAACCTAAGTCGAATGTATTATTAAAATTTTGAGAATGTTAATTATATGCAAATACTAGATGTTCGGTGCATCAGT